TGTGATTTATAAAAAAAAAAAACTAAAAAGATTGAAAATGTCAAATTTCCATAAATGATTTTAAAAGATTTGAAATACTTTGAGAATTTATCTTTATATTTGCTGATAAATTATAGGTAATATCTTTTATGATTTTTAACTTTTTAACTTTATTTAAAATTGTGTTTATAGTCGGTACTTATCCACTCTGGAAAATTCATTATTCGATTTTATCAATGGTGTCACAATTATTTATGACATATTTTCTCATCGTTAATTTGATTTAGATTTATATAATGTCACAAATATCCAGTTAAATATAAAAATATAAGATCAACTATAGGTATATTCATACTAGAATATACAGACACGCATAGTATAGGTATACAAAAGTAAAGTAACATAGAAAAATAGTCCGTTTCGATAAAAAAGTATAGCATCTGTTATGAAAAAAATAGAATTTTATTGAAGGTTTTGCAATACGGGTTTAATTGTTATGTTTTATCACTGTAATTAATTTTAAAAAAAATTATAAATTATATAATACATAYTATTACGAGTATTATGTGTAATTCATTAATTTTTTAAGTAAACTAGTTTTASTTTTTAGTTTTTAATGATTGTAAAATTGTGTATTATAATAAATAAAAGTGGATAGGATTACAGAGAATCAGTACTACTAAATATCGGGCTGATCTAGTGTTATTTAAATAACATGAACCGTTAATTTTAGTTAACAGGGTTCAAAATATTCAAAACAATTAATGCATATAAAAAATATAAAGTAACTAATGAGTAACTATAAGAACTAATGTTCTTATTTTCCATATGTCCATCATACTCCATATATGTAGGTACATGAGAATATGTAGTAGGTACACGCGTTTTCATTTAAAATTATGTATTTTACACACTATAACACTTTATAAAGGTGTACCTATGTATGTTATACGAAAATGCTTATACCTCTACTATATAGATATATATCCGTTTAACCAAACAATACTAACTAGCTATTATTCCGTAAAATAAATACGTGTATTTTACTCTTGAAAATATTATATTTTACATTTAGATAAATGCGTTTTATTGTTTGATACCTAATATTAAAATATATAGATTTGAATTTAAAGGCATTTTTTTTTTATCATTATACCAATGAGATATCTGATGATTGGCGTTCTCCTATATTAAGCCAAATATGTTTTATTTAAATATATCAATATTTTACCGTAGTTCTATAAAAAAAAAAATTATAATATATGAAGAATCACTCATTGTTTTGCATATATATATATATATAATTGATGACAATACACGATTCAAGTTTTAGATAACGTGCAGACAGTATATAAATATCATTATTCATTATAATATTATTAGAACGAAAATAAAATATATATAATATAATAACGAAAAGACACGACCTGTAGGTATCGGATGGTTCAAAAAATATTAATTATAACATTAATATAAAATCTATCACTAGAAATTGAATTAATATTCTATCATAATATATAATATGTATAAACGTATATATTACCTATATTGGCGCACTGGCAAATATTACGCCTGCGTGTACAAACACACATTATTTTATACATATATATATATATATAATATACATACACCTACGCGTGTCCGGATTTCGCACGACTTGCCGGAATCAAGAAAATATTCTACGCACATATATACCGGCTTGTGCCGAAAAAAAATAATATATAAAACGAAATAAAATACGTGACATTATCGTCGACGTATTGTAGTAATATAATCGATATTATGATATTATATTGCTGTGCGTGTTCAAACCATATACATATAAGCCATATATACGAACGACCGCACGAGACAAAGAATATAATATGATAATAATATTATTATCATAACAATATTACACGTTACTACTCGACGACACTGCAATAATACCTATACTATACGTCAATACACTCGTCGTCCGTGATTATTGTTGCTA